CCAGCACTATTACGCTATTTTATAAATACATTCGTCAGATCTGGAATCTTTAATCTTTAATTTTTAATCCCCGCACACAGTAAACAAACACACATTCATGAACACGTATAAAAAATAAGTGGCCTCTTGTTACGGATCAAATTGAAGTCTTGTTACAATTCGATCAATTGATAAAAGTGCGTATCGCAATGCGTTGGCCACCCCTGCCCTATAGGCCTATATGCTATTTAATAAATACATTCGTCAGACCTGGAATCTTTAATGCCCGCACACAGTAAACAAACACATATTTTTGAACACGTATAAGAAAAAATAAGCGTTGTCTTGTTACGGATCAAATCGAAGTCCTGTTACAATTCAATTAATTGATAAAAGCGCGTATCGCAAAGCATCGGCTAACCCAGCACTATTACGCTATTTTATAAATACATTCGTCAGATCTGGAATCTTTAATCTTTAATTTTTAATCCCCGCACACAGTAAACAAATACACATTCATGAACACGTATAAAAAAATAAGTGGCCTCTTGTTACGGATCAAATTGAAGTCTTGTTACAATTCGATCAATTGATAAAAGTGCGTATCGCAATGCGTTGGCCACCCCTGCCCTATAGGCCTATATGCTATTTAATAAATACATTCGTCAGACCTGGAATCTTTAATGCCCGCACACAGTAAACAAACACATATTTTTGAACACGTATAAGAAAAAATAAGCGTTGTCTTGTTACGGATCAAATCGAAGTCCTGTTACAATTCAATTAATTGATAAAAGCGCGTATCGCAAAGCATCGGCTAACCCAGCACTATTACGCTATTTTATAAATACATTCGTCAGATCTGGAATCTTTAATCTTTAATTTTTAATCCCCGCACACAGTAAACAAACACACATTCATGAACACGTATAAAAAATAAGTGGCCTCTTGTTACGGATCAAATTGAAGTCTTGTTACAATTCAATAATTGATAATAGTGCGCATTGCAAAGCATTGGCTAACTCAGCATTATACGCTATTTAATAATACATTCGTCAGATTTGGAATCTTAAATTATAATCATAATTATATGTGCCAGCGCGTGGGAAGTGAAAGTGAAAGGAATTGAAAATGCTTTCAAAAACAAAAACATAATTAAAGTAGGACTACATGTGCTTATAAAGGCCCAAAAAGGTGTATGGATGCGGAAATTAATGTTTCGGATGAAAATAATACGCTATCTTCACTACTGTAGCATGCAGTCAAAAATTTGATGCGCAACTTATTATCAAATATCTAGGCTACTGAACTATCAAACACCTAGATCTAGATTCTCCTACTTTTACACAATGACTTAGATCTATATTCAATTCGTCTTAACCGATGAGTATTTTTTTCAAACATTTGTACACATCTATAGGTTCTATATTATTCTAGAAATTTCTTTAAAGAAAATTCTTTAATAAATACTAGCCCAATATTAGAAAAAAAAATCCTAGTCAATGGTTTCTACAGATTTTTTAAAAGTTTATAGCTGGAGCTAAATCTCTTTTAAAAGCAAGTCCGTCCTTTTTTCTACTTCTGCTGGCGACATAAAGCTAATTATTGAAAGCATGTTTTGAGAACATTAATAAGATCTAGTGAAAAAATATGTTCAGTGTAAAACAAATTTCTTGTAATAAGTTTTACTACTAAAAAACTACGTAGGCCATAATATGCGTATGCAAAATGTGTGTGGGAAGCTAGAAGTGCTATGAATTTTTTTCAGTTCTGTAGATCTTATATTTATAAACTCTCTATGACTGCTTTTTCTGTTGTTGCACCCAAAAACACAACAATTTAAAACCTTAATTCCAATCTCTAGTTGCACAGTGAATTCTGTAACTCAAAATTACAAACTGGACAGTAAATGTTCCACTTTTCACTCGTTTGTAAAAGCCGCTCTTGCTTTAAAAGCTATAGGGTTACTTCCGAAAACGATAAATCGTGCCCTCAAGACGCCATTGTTTTCGGTCTTCAATTCCTCACAGGTCACGTGGTACAGTTCCCGTTCTATAAGTGTAGAATTCTGTGGCTTAACCCTATCCGTACGTCGTGTTTTACTATCGTATCCATACGACGTGGGGAACTCTGTGCCACCACTTTCCAAAGAGGAAGTTTACTCTTTAGTCCAATCCGTACGCTTTGCACAGCAGTCTGTCAAAATGATTTTTAAAAAAAGAAATACTGAAAGGATCAAAGAGTTCTTCGTACTAGAAGTACATTTTACATTTAAAAAAAGTCTTGTTACGAGATGTGTCAGACTATATCCCTAAACTTTCAGCCCCAGCTCGCGTGTTTGACACACAAACACACACGCGCGCACGCACACACACACACACACACACACACACACACACACACACTCACACTCACACACACCAGTACAGTCTGGCACTGATAACAAAAAGTGAATTATTAAACGCGTGAAAATAATCAAGGTAATGGAAACCCGGGATCTTTTTACTCACGCCCAAAACCGGTCGGTCGATTTTCTCAGTTCCGTGAGCCACACTTTCTTCTCCCATTCCCATAAGTTTGATGGGTTTCTTCGCTTTTAAATTAGATTGTTTAGAGCTCGTTACCATATTTTTCTGGTAATGTTCCTGATGCGACCCGCATTATCTGTTGCTGCGCTCCTCAGTATTTCTCGTTCCTTTCATCATTTTGTTTGGCTGTATTGTCCTCAGTATTTCTCGTTCCTTTCATAATTTTGTTTGGCTGTATTGTCCTCAGTATTTCTTGTTCCTTTCATAATTTTATTTTGGTGTGGGTGGTTGACGGGTGCTCTGTTGTGGTTTGCTTCTTCTTTCCTTTCGAACATCTATCGTTCTTGTCTCCCCTTCTTCTTGTTTATGTTTGTTACTGTCTTGTAACACATCTATTCTTCGGCACTTATATGACCTTATTGTGTTGCAAGTGCCGTAAAACACTTACTAAAACTTATACTAAAGCTAAACTGGTGTAGTTTAAGGGGAGACATATACTCCTGGAAACATTTTCTAAACACAATCTCTCGTCCTTAACATATTACTCTCTAGTTGCACCTCTATTCTTGGGTTCTCATTATGGTCTATTTGGATTGCAAGTTCCGTAAGAAACTAAAACAAAACTCAGTGGGTTTTTTTCCTGATATTTTGGGTGTTGTCCGCTTTGA